GGTGTAGGAGCAGGAAGGGAGAGGTGAGAGTATCCCGGAAAGAGGCTGTAAGCTCTAAAGGAGACCTAAGGTTCTGCTAGAGCGCCATCCCTGTGTCAGACCAGGGAATGCTCATGTCCATCTCTCACGGTACCCAACTGAACAGAGAGTCAAACTCACTAGCAGGAAACCAGGGTGATCATAGTTAACAGGGGAACATATATTTCTACACTGCTGAGGCTGATGAAGCCCCTCAAATAATCCACAAGAATTACCTAAAATCATTAGAGTCCTACAAGCTCTGTTTACTGACAACAGAAGCAAAGAGATTTTGGATAATTTTGTCCTCAGTTTGGTTCTTTTTGTCGGTTATTTGCAGACATATCAAGGTCTAGTCATTGTTTATACCTTACTCAGAGAAACAACAACTGGTGGAGACTGTTTACAGGCTTCAGTAGTCATTGTGTGGTGTCAAAACCAAAAATGACGGTTTACAAAATAGCACTAGGATTACTTTCCTCCCTACGCTTTGCAAACCATGTTACTGCTTTTCTTCTTCCGTTCTCTCTAAGCTTTGCCATCACAATTGATGTATCCAGTACAACAGTCTGAAACTCCCCAAATCATCATGACCTCTGATACCAGAAGAACTGAAACCATGTAGGATCCCAAAGCAGAGAAATATTGTACTTTTTCTTTCTTTTACTTCAGATGTCCCCAGGTTTATTCAGTGTAGTAAAGTACAGAAGAGGCAAGGTCTCCTTAATACTAAATCTGGGTTAGAAAGGATGTCAGCAAACTCTCAGCACTTATGGCTGAATCAGCCCATAGTAACAGGCAGGATGTATTACCCTGGAGTCCAACCACAGGATCTGGGACTCTACAAATTATTCAAATTGGCTGTAGATCTGGCCACCTTCTGATGAACACTATTTCAGAATGTTGTCTGTACTCCTTATATTGACATTTAACTACTAACATCTGAAGAATAAGCAAATGAAAGTAATACAAATTACCAAGGAAGTACCTGGACTCCGAGGAGGCAATGCACTACGCAAAGGTTACCTGACTATTGCTCTACTAAAAGCAACAGAATCTTTCAGGATTTTTTTTTGTGTCTTCTCAGAGTTTCCTTGTAATGCTCTAGGAAATGTTTGCTTTATGTCTTCTATGTGTGGGCAACACTGCTTAGTTTGTGTTTCTCTCTTGCCTACAGACATTTCTCTAAGCCAGATTCAATAGCAATTAAGATGCGCAATAGGCAATGCGCCTCATTAAATGTCCATCACCAGTGAAGGTGCTTGAAGATTTTTTCAGTGAAACTGGTTTGATAAATACCGATTTGCCAAAACACAAGCTTATCATGCTAGTGTATCCGTTTTGATGGATTGCCTGTTAAGGCAGGTTTCCTAGCTCCAGGACAGGATTTCTGGTCTAACATACAGGAAGACATAACTGATTAGCAAACAGCCTTGTAATAAGGCATTACAACCTTCAGGGTCTATGCAAACACTGGTTTGAATTAGGCAGAGAAATAATTTGAAACTGGATCTCCTATGTTTTAAGTAAGTGTCTTCATTACCGAGCTCTTGGATATACTAAGCTTCATTTCTCACTGTGTGTTTAGGGGGTTTGTGACTTTCATGGACAAAAAAAAGAAAAAAAAAAGTAGGGTCTTGACTCCTCTTCTAATGTGGAATGAGAACATTTGAAAATGATCACAGCAATTGTAGTATCAGAAAAATGTTCCCTGCTTAGTCCTGGTCAGCGACTGAACTGGTTAAACAAATGATTTCCTCTCTCACTTAACACTTACCCCTCTTTATCCCTGATAAATAACAAAGAAGTCACTGTAAGTCTCTCAGTACTGTGGAACAGATAGCATCATTCACGTCAGTTAGGCAACATTTCCCAAAATGCCTCCTCCAAAGCTAAGTACACTAGCTTCCCACTCCTACGCTCTCTATTCTTGCTCTTACATTGACCTTCTGCTCACAAAATGGAAAGTGAAGAGAAGAAAAAGATAAATAAAACAGATTCACAGTGTACAAGTTAGAGGCACAGTGCCCAACGCAAATCACAGAGGAACAAGGTTATTCCTGGTACAACTCTATCCATCTATAATCCCGGCTTTCTCTTTCCTGCCCCTCCAGCTGTGGTGTATCCGTTATTAAGGCCACATTTGCGGGTATTAGTTAGATGACATTCTTTAGGACAGAGACCACTATTTATTTCTGAAAAGTACTGTATACAGTTTAACAAAAAAAAAGAAAAGTGTTTTGAAAAGTGGGACAGTCTGTGACCAGGCTAGAGAGAAAAAGGGAAAGGAGTGTCTTGACCCCTCTTGGGACTTTGGCCAACACTTCATCCCAGATGAAAGCTTGAAATCAAAGCCCTCCTTCAGCCTTTAAGAAAAGGTATTCACTTTTACATCAGTGCTGCTACTTTTTCTGTCTACCAAAAGGCTGAAAGGTTGTAGGGCTAAGGAACTGATACTCTCTTAAATAACGAGGAAAGCATCTCAAAGCTATTATCCCAGGAAATACATTTTTTGCCTAGAATGGAAAGCAAACATGCGCTCTCACGCACTAGGCAGTTCAAAAGCATAGTTCAGCTTTTTGAGTAGCTGTCTCTTTCGTTGTGTAAAAAATCAGAAGTTAACAAAATTCCTGGAAAGATTACAAATACTCACATCCCCCTTCTTTGCTGACAGGCTACCTTGCACGGTCTGCTCTCCCTGGTTACTGTACTGTCCCTAAGAGGAAGCCAGTTTTTCTAGGAAGGGATTGCACGAGGATGGATATCTGTCACAGCTCCTTCTGAAAGGATCTGTAGCAGTTTTGCACGCTACCTGTTCCTCCATCCAGGAGGCCTCCTACACCTGGTTTCAAAGTCCCAGCACCCAAGTGGAAACCTGACAGCTACCTCATGCAGATTTGAACCAGCAGCAGCTTCCTGGATGACCCAAAGATGACGTTGCACTGGGACCTATGCTATACCACTGTCCTGATGTATGGTTTCTCCCCGTCAGCAAAGAGAGGAGAAAGGTGGTATGGGAGGAGATATTGCAGTCATTCCAGCCCATCCTACTCTGTGGCTTCAATCCTGAAGTCTGCACTTCTGTACTGTGTCTGCCAACATAATCTGGGCTTGGAGCAACTATTGTAGAGCAATCTGTAAGCATAAAACCATCATTTGTGGGTTTCTGGCTCAAACATTCATTGATATTATCAACTTTTCATTCCCTGCTTTGGGAGCTACAGGTACATGGCACTCAAAAGGTGTGAATAACACCACTGACTTCCACCCACAGCAGACTGGCAGCTCGGCCGTTGTCACTAACAGTCTCCTTGGAGGAAAGCTTTTGTGGAAAAGTCTCTCTACATGTTTTATGGAGTCTGCATTACTCCTCCAGCACAAAACCAGCCACAAGTATCCTGTAACTAATTAGTACTCACTTGGATACAATACCGAAGTCTTTTGTCTCTTGAGTAAGTGAAAAGCTGGGCATGAAGAGTCAGTGACAAAAGGAAAAAAAAAAAATGACAAAAGAGATATCCCCATATATTGAAGAAATTTTCCATGGCAAAAGCAGCTAAACATCTCACAGATAAGAGATACATTGGAATAAACAGCTGTCAGCGTTAAATAAATATCCTGGATAATGTGCAGAACAGAAATAACTACAGCATCGTCTAACTCCTTTCTTCACTTTATTTAGCTGTTCTTGCATGTAACTCCCAACTTTGCACTGCTTCAGTTAGTGGAGCATTTATTTTTGAATCAGCTGCATTTGTTAAGACTGTAACAACGAAAGGCATTTCCTGAGAAGCTGCAAGGATGAGCAGCAAGAAAGAACAACAGCTAAGGAAATATGGGACTCTAGTAGTGCTTTTTATTTTCCAAGTTCAGATTTTTGGTTTTGATGTTGACAATCGACCTACCCCTGATGTCTGCTCGACACACACAATTTTACCTGGACCAAAAGGTGAGGACGATCAGGTTGCTAATGCTGAGACCAGTACTGCTAAAGGCTGGTTTTTAAAAATAGAGACATGGAGGGCTTGTGGCATGGGCTGGGGATGAAAGATGTGAATTATTGCAAACTGTGCAAACATCTAGAAAAGTGGAACTGTGATGGGGGAAAGTGATGAAGCAAGGAGGTTTGAATTTGCTTTTCGTTAGTTGCAAGAACAGTGCCACACAGTCTCATGTAAGTTAGAGGTGTCCTTTTGCATCTTTCTCCAGCCACATCTTCTCTTACTTCTTGTATTCATCACATAACCAGTACAGCTAACAGCCATAAATTGAGTGACTTTGTCTAAAAGTAAGCATCCATTGTGAACTGTTAATGGCTCACTTTGCACCTATAGGTAGGGAGAGATATGCAATACTTAAAATGGCTGAACTGTCATTATTTCCAAAGGCTTACTTGTGAATAGCTCTGCTGCATGCATCAGACCTGATCCAGCAGCTCCTGTGGAATTAAACAGGACCTTCACTACAGATTTCAACAAAAACTAGATCAGCTCTGGCATGTGCAGTTCTTTTATCTTAAAAACACTTTGCAAATATCTGAAATCAAATTTTCTGTATTCAATTACTTTTTGTGTAACACAACTAACGTCAATGGAATTGCCTGGAGGGTATCTCAGCCAAAAATTAGATCCGCGACGTACAAATCTATCTTGTGGTGACAGATCTAAAATATGTATTTCACACCATGGCTATTACAGTTGAAACTATTGCTTTTTTTTTAGCAATTCATTGTATTTTTCCATAGGCTACATAATGAGAGAAAAAAGTGCCACTGATTTAAATTTTAAGCAGAAAAATGATGATCAAGTCAAAAGCACTGCTACAGACTCATTTGTTTGTATGATGGATTATTCAAATGCATGTTGCTTAAAGGACCATTTTTAATCAGCAAGTTAATTTCTTTATGATTACAATCCAAGCTTAAACTTTTGCTGCCACAGCAAAAATGCAGAGAGATGTAATGATCCCCAAGGGAGCTAGTGGGAGTTTGTTTAGTTAGTATCTGGATAATGGAGGGCTGGAGAACAAAGTTTGACAGAATTGTGTTTAACAAGTCACAAGGCTAATAAGGTGGTCTGTGACAACATGAGAGTAGCTGGGACTCCAGCTGGTTTCTGTGGTCTAGCTTGTATAGGGAGCATTTAAAGGTTAGATATTATGGTTCTTTGCAAGTGTGATATTGAGAAAGTCAGGATTTAGTCATTACCAGTCCTGCTGCCTCCTGGCGGACACCAAGACGCACAAGGAGCCAAACAGTATATTGGCATGGTCCCCACTACTACTTTCAAATTAGATCATCATGCCCAAGATTCATGATTGGTAAAAGAAGAATTGAGTAAATCACCTCCAAATTACTGGCTCGCATCCACTGCAGGTCATCAAATGCATTTTGCAGTCTATATGATATGATGCTGAAGACTAATTTCAGTTCCTACCAGAGCTGAGTCCATGCAGAAGAGTTACAAGTGGCTCTCAATGGCAGTGGTTGTTTTGACTGACAGTTGGCTGGGCAATTAAAGACTGAGCAGGCTGAGTGTGTGAACTACCCTGTTACTCCTGAGGCATCCCTTGTAGTCAAGCGTGATGACCTAATATGGCAGAAGAAAGTCTGTCCTGCTGCCAGTTTTCCTCTATCCATCTTATGTCTACAGACTCTGAGCACATGATCCCCAGCCTACAACCACACTACAGCCACAGGCAACACTTTGCTGCTCAAATTTTAACCCTAAGAATGGACAAGCCTCTGACTTTTGTTGCTGTAAGTTCTATTTCCTGTGATACACTTGTTGTGCCCCTTTGTCCACTATTCTCCTGAAAATGGGTTTTGATCCCCCGTGCACAAGTCTCACCCCCTCACCTCCATCTGCTCAGCATCTTTGGCTACGGTAGAACACAGTGGTGCTCCCACAAGATGGAGGTGCTGAGCTCACACAGTATGTTGGCCAGCTTCTTCTACCACCACAGGCCAGATTCTGCTGTGGCAAGTTCCTCTTTCCATATGAACATGGGAGAGTCTACTGGGCCAAATCAACTGGAACTGCAAGGAATTAAAAGGTATTCAATAGCTGTAAGACTTCCTACACTGTCCCACCGCACCTATCCCAGTGCAAGGCACAAATAGTCCTGTAGGCTAGATCCAGGCTGTGGGCTACAAGTGGGATGGTCAGCAATACTGCTGTTCCCATCATACAGGATAATGCAGAGAAGAAAGCTGAGAGAGAAGTGGGGTTGTTTGGACAGGATCAGAAATTGTAATCCTTTATTTCTTGCACTGTTGGAGATTGCATTACTTACTTCATCATCTAGCCATTCCCAGTTGCTACAGGAGCAAGCACCCAACCTCTCTGCATGCTCACCTTGAAAATCACCTGTTCAGAAAGGGTCATTAGTGTTGTGACAATTTGCCACATCTTGTAAAAACCACATGTAACTTGTCCAAGTTAATTTGTGCAAGCAAAATTCTTCCCTTTCAAAAATACTCTTTGTTACTCTCATACCTGAGATGTCACAAGATAAGTATGATATGAGTGATGGGATGAAAAGAAAGGGTAATTCCAGGCTGGCTATCAGGAAAGTCTTCAAACCAGTTCTGACAGTCACACCAGCTCCCAAAAATCATGAGGCCCTGGGTCAGGGCAATACCAAGCATAAATACAGGCTGGTCAGAGGATGGATTGAGAGCAGCCCTGAGAAGGACTTGAGAGTGCTGTTGTTCAACAGGAACAGACAATGGGTACTTATGGCCCAAAAAGCCAATCGTATCCGGGGCTGCATCCAAAGAAGCGTGGCCAGCAGGTTGAGGGAGGTGATTCTGCACCTCTACTCTGCTCTTGTCAGACCCCACCTGCAGTACTGCATTCAGCTCTGGAGTCCCCAACACAAGAAGGACATGGAGCTGTTGGAACAAGTCCAGAGGAGGGCCACAAAGATGATCTGAGGGCTGGAACACCTCTCCTATGAAGACAGGCTGAGAGAGCTGGGGCTGTTCAGCCTGGAGAAGAGAAGGCTCCAGGGTGATCTTATAGCAGCCTTCCAGTACCTAAAGGGGGCCTACAGGAAAGCTGGAGAGGGACTTTATACAAGGGCATGTAGTAATAGGACAAGGGGCAATGGCTTCAAACTGAAAGAGGGGAGATTTAGATTAGATCTAAGGAAGAAATTCTTCCCTCTGAGGGTGGTGAGGCACTGGAACAGGTTGCCCAGAGACGTTGTGGATGCCCCATCCCTGGAAGTGTTCAAGGCCAGGTTGGATGACGCTTTGAGCAACCTGGTGTAGTGGAGGGTGTCCCTGCCCATGGCAGGGGAATTGGAACTAGGTGATCTTTGAGGTCCCTTCCAACCCAAACCATTCTACGGTTCTATGAAAATACTCTGGAAGGAAGCAGTGTCCTGGGAAGAGGAGGAAGGCAGCAAATGTCCCGTTCGCATGTTGCCATGACGTAGTCACGCGAGCAGGGTCCCAGTGCACCCCTGGCCGCACGGCAGGTGCGCATCAGGCGCCCCGCAGGCCCCGCCCCCTGGTACAAGCAAACAAAAGCTGCAGTCTGTTCTTCAAGAGCGAAGGAAAGAAATGTAAATAGACACTCCAGAAAAAAAAAAGGAAAAACAAGAAGAGAAGAAAAGCAAAAGCTGGCACTCCTCTCCTGGTTCCCTGTTCTAGGCAATGTTCTCCAAAGTACAGGATTCTTTCTAATGAACATGGTCCTAGTGCAACGGTTGTCTTGTCCTGCCTTCTCGAGAATGCTTTTGAGGTCCTCAGCACGCTGGCTTATGTAGCGGTCAGAAATAGAAACGTGGGAGGCATTTTCTACGACCCTTATTGAAATACCCTGGGAAACAAAAAAAGAAAAAGAAAAAAATCTGTGCTTTGGGCCAAAACTGATTTTCAGTATTCGTAATGAGGTGTTCTTTGGTGTTTGACCCGAGATGCTTAGGAACAACGTGGTTGTAGCTGGAGTGCTTTGGCACTGGATGTCTGAAAACTTACATTAGGTAACTCTTATCCGCAGCTGAGTAACTAGGGCAATAAAGGCCAAGTTCTGTGCCATCAACTTCTTGGGCCCAAACAAAACCAGATCAAGCATAAACAAAACAACAAATTTCCCAGGGCAGCCAAGTGCTTGGTCTAGCAAAATTAGTCATGGCCCTGCTGCTTACTTTCCACCCTTCCAAGCCTGGAAACAGGCTGGCAATTGCTGCTGCTGAGAGAGAAGCTGGGTCTGTGGGGAGGCAGCAGCTAGTGTGGTGAAAGCGAAGGCACCAGTTGTTGGTCCATGCCCTGGCAACAACAGGAGCACCAGGCTCTGCTCCCCTGGGCGCTGCCTTCAATCGGTGTCCCAGCTCTGTCCTTTCTTCTAGCCTGCTCTTGCCTGGAAGCTGCAAGCTCGGTTTTGTCCAACCTGCAAAGGAAGTTTTAAGTGGGCTGTTGACATAAGTGAGATGGGATCTGACCTGGCCCGAGTGGATCAATAAGCAACAACATGAAGGCAGAAATAAGCAGAGGGCCCTAAATGTATGCTCCTAAACTCTCCTTAAAAGCATGAGCGGGGAGAGAAGTCGACTGGGGTGGGGGCTGGCTCTGTGGAAGTGTGGAAAAAGACTACAGCTGATTTCATGTGGATTCCTGGGAGCTCAGTACTTCAGAAGACTGGCTCTAGATTTTGCTATCTGTCCCAGGTCCCAGCTCATTTCCCTGGAAATCCAGACACGGGAACTTCAAAGGTCTTGAACCAGATCCAGGTTGAGAAATTGGAATGAGATGAAATCTGAAGAATACTGGGAGTTTCCCATAGCAATTTAGATGCAAAGCATTTCCTTATTATTATTTCTGACAAATGATGCTCATAAACTCTATGACATCGGCTGGCGCCTCAAAATAGCATTTACTGTGGTCTTCAGTATAGCTGTCCATCTCTCAGCTTTAATTGCACTTACGCAATTCCACTCTTG